ACAATACCAATTTCATTATATCTTTGAGAGCCATTATTAGTATAATTTAGAGAGGTCATACTAATTTTATAAGGAGATATATATATTTACATATATATTCTTTAATTCAGAATAAACTATCAATATTGATTTCTTCAATGATTGTAAAAGTAAAACAGCATTTCAAAAATATTCAGAAGTATAGAATTTAGAAAATAGCACAAAAAAGTATCTACATTAGACTTGCACTAAGAGTTTGTAATTGATTCTTCCATTCCTTTTTTGATACATACATAGCTGGTGGTTGAAAGGCCCCAATAAATAGCAGCTGTCTCCCTTGCCTAGGGTACTGAATTAATTGATAAATAAAAGATTCACATAAAAAGGCAAAAATATTAATTTTATCAATGATAAAGATGAGTTAGAGGACAAAGGTTAGTTTGAGTGCCTAATATGATTATTAAATGGACCCCAGAATTAGCCAAGATGATTCATCATAATATCAGGCAAAAACAACAGCCCTGAGAAGAAAAGAATCATTATTTTCAGCAGGCAGCTCAGTTCCAAGGTGGAAAGAAGGCAGATATAAGACAAATATTTTCTGTTTATTCTTCCCCAAATTGCCAGTCAAATAAGTAGCTTTAATCTCCAGAGGCAGTGAACAAAGGGATATAGAAAAGCTAGATCTGTGACTGACTTGCCTTTGCATAGAAGGAAGCAGTAAAAGGGAGATGTGATTTTAGTAAATCTGTATAAACTTTCCAAAGATAGTACTAATCTTCCTTTCGGAATTTGCTTTTTCCCAAAAATATATTGTAAATCTTTTAGTAATTTGCATAGTATTTCATGATATGGTTACAATTTATCTAATCAATTCCCTTTTAGAAGATACTAAAGATCTTTTAAAAGTTTTACTATCACCAGGCATGGTAGCACATGTCTGTAATCCCCAACACTCAGAAGTTTGAGGTAGGCCAGTTGCAAAATTTGAGAGCAGCATGGGTTATGTAGTGAGCTTTAGTCCAGCCTGGATTATATAGCAAGACTCTGTTCTAATAAAAAAGTAAAACAAAACTAATTTTTACTATCATACGCAGTACTACAATGAACACTTTTACCACATTTGGCATATTCAATTATTCCCACAGGATAAGTTCAAAAAGTGGAATAAAATGGAATAATTAAAATAATATGTACATTAAACTTTTTATATGCATTTTAAAATTGGTCCTGGAAATGTAGTATTTTCCACCCTGGCAATTTATGAGAATTATGACACCTCATGCAATATTACATGCTATCAGTCTTTCTCAATTTTAAAAATGTGATAAAGGATTGTCATTTAATTTGCATTAAAAAAAAACTTATTGAAGGTGCACATTTTTCCCCATCTCTTCCATCAGAAGAGTATAATTTGATGGGTCTCTTTTAAGTTATCAACTATTTATCAGAATACAAGATGTCTTTAAGTAGATGTGCAGCAAATTTGGCTTTTAAACAATGTGAAAAATTGATGACCCAGTGGATATATTAGATAAAATACAATGTGATCTCAGAATCAATGTTCAGTCTATATATTTGAGCAATGGCTAATTACCCTAATAAATGCAGACTTGGCATTTCAGCAGAAGGAACATAGTGCATTAGGCCTGTGTCCCAGGGGGCTCACTGGATCTGGAGTTTAGAAATCATCAAGCACAGGAGGCCAATTGCCTTGGCTCTACAGCTCCCTGCTTCAGTCTTCATAAGGACCAAACCAGAGGATACAAAATTTTGTTTTTCATTTTCCCGAAAAGGAAAACCTGAAACCCACATGCCATTGTTCCTGGTTCTCTAGGTACACAAATGGAAGTATGAATAATTCCCCAAGTAACAGAGCTTGATCCTTCTAAGTATTAGATTTATTGGAAAAATACCAACAATACCAACACAGGAAACTTTATCAGGAAAAATAATTTAAAAGAATGAACATCTGTAGAGATCTTAGAAATTGTAGGGCACAGAAAAAAACACAATAAATATGACCTATTTATTTTTAAAAACTTGACAAAATGGCATCTAAACTCATTTTGTGGAACTGAGGATTAATTTGTTTCTTTCTCTTACCAACTCTCCAATTTTCCTTTGTTTTACTTATTTGTTTATTTATTTATTTATTTATTTTTAAATGGGACTTTGTGCTTGTGAAGCAGGCGGCAGAAACATTGAGCTAAATCCCCAGCCCATTAAACTTTCTTTTAATCTTATCATCTACAGTGAGCATCAGCATATGGTTGAAACTTCCAATAACCACTGAGAGAGAGAGAGAGAGAGAGAGAGAGAGAGAGAACAAAAAACAAACAAAACAACACACACACAAAAACTCAACAAGCTGCAAAAAACCCTAACATATATTAATATTTAGGTTAAATTTTAACTTTTCCAGTTCAATGCATTTAATATAGGACATGTAAGTTTACTTTTTCTGAGTATATCTGCATACCTTACATGTAAATTAAATCTAAGAGCAATGGTATACACCCATAATTCCAGCTATTCTAGAGGTTTAGGCTGGAGGATAGCAAGTTTGAGGCCAGCCTAGGTAACCCTGTCTGAGATAAAATTTAAAGAGAGAGAGAGAGAGAGAGAGAGAGAGAGAGAGAGAGAGAGAGAGAAACAAAAAAGGCTGGGGATATAGCTCCGTGTTTGAGCACTTGTTCAAGGCCCTGAGTTAATTGCCAGTACTAAAAAAGAAAAAAAAGTAAGTTAAGTCAATGTTTTTCTGGCTTCAATTTTGAGGATTTATAAAGGATAATCTTTTTTTCATTAAGTTTATTGGTACTTTTTAGGTATACAGTACAGTTATATTCATCATTGGGAGCGTGTACCTTTCCATGATGTATCTTGGTTCTTATTTTTCCCCCATTCCCCTGCCCTCCCTTCACCCTCTCCACCCATCCCTATTTACAAAGACTTTGTTTCCATATTTTCCTTTTCTCATATTTTTTCTTTTCTCTTTTTATCTTTCCCCTACCCTTTCCACTTCCTTTATTCCTATAAAGGATACTCGTTAAGTTATTTTTTATTTTAAGAAAACATGCATATTTTAGGCTACTAATTGGAAAGGGAAAGTGTCCAGAAAGAAGTTGATCACTTGCAGAGACAACTATTCTATTCCTGCTAGAAACCCCAAAATCATTTAATTTTATGTTTGTTTCCTCTCTCTTTCTCTGTCTGCCCCCCGCCCCCGCCTATGAAGAGCAAATAAGAAAGTAGAGGGCTAAGAGGAAGAAACTTAGTAATGCAGGTAGACTGAAGGCACACAAAATGGTTCTACTTGTATCATATTAAAGAAACCATAAATACCATTTGGTTATCGAAGGGATAATATAAATTAAACAATAAAAGAATCAAAACAAAATACATGTTTATTAAACAGGAGAAATTTCTAAGCTTAATGAAGTAAATTAAAGAACAAAAAATGTAATAGATATAATCACATAAATTTATTTTGTATTCTCAAAGTAAAAATAATGGAAATGAACTGCCAAAGTTTAACATAACATATGATGAAGGACAATTTTTATCATATAAAGAAATCATAAAAATCAGTGAAAAAAAAGCTCAGGCTCCACAACATATGATAGTTTACCAGGGAATTTTAAAATGTGGAAAATGTTAGACTGTTCTACCTCAGTTGTAACAAAGGTAAAAAACTGAAATAATTACACACTTCAGTGTTATCTGCTAAATTACCAAGTAGTACTGGGGGCATATAGCAAAATGTTATAGTATTTGTCTACCTAGAATGCATAGGTTCTGGATTTGATTCCAAGTATTGAAAAACATTAGCAAATATTTTTTAAAAATCCTAATTTCTGGTCATTACACAGGCGGGGGTTTACACGTCTCTCCTTTTTTTATTCTGGGTGAGCTTTAATGACTTGATGTTTCTAGACTCGCTACACTTGATTCCTTATTCCTTAGAGAAAAATAGTTTTCTGATAGGATGGTTTGAAAGGGTAAATTGAACGTGCATAAATCATCTCTGTTCCCTTTCTTTTGCTCAGATCAAACTCACCTGGAGCCTTATTCTACCCAACTCATGCTGATATGATGGGGATGCCTAGCTTGGGTTTAATTCTAGACACCAGTGTCACAAACATATTTGCCTAAAGATATAAGCACATTCTGTAATATTAGATTTGTCAGTGATAAAAATGACATTTTACCTTCTTTGTTTCACACGTCCACTGCTTTAGATATTGGCCACAAAAGGGGTGCTAATTATTGGGATCTGTCAAAATCTACCCCTTTATCACTGCATACTTAAAGCTTCAAAAAATGTTCAAAGTGTTTTATTAATTTCCTGAAATTACAGTTAGACAAAGATTAGTGCACTAATATCTTCATTACATTTTTCTTAATGACACAATGAGGGTTTGTGCACCCATGTTGAATTTACTAAACTCAGTAAAAGGCAAAATCAAAATGTAAAATGATATATATGCTTGTCATTAAACCAATATTTTGTAGCATCTCCTATGAGCCAATTATCTTGCTATGTAAAGTTAAATGAGAGAAAATACAATGAAAATTGTAATAATGTTTTTTTTTCAATGTTGGGACAAAGCCTAGTACCTCTTTCTAATTATGCCTTTTTAAATTTGCATGTGTTAGTCTCATGACTTTATTATACATTAGGTACATCAATCTAGAATGAGAACTTCTAAAATTTCAACAAGAAACCCAATTTTTTAAAAAATGAACGTTTAAAGAAAATGTGACACTTACACGTAATGAGGAACTAATCTGCCACAAAGAAGAATGAATTTGAATCATTTGTAAGAAAATAGATGCACCTGAAGACCATAATGTTAACTGAGATAAATCAGACACTGTTAGGTAAAAGAGCCAAAAAGTCAGAACCAGACCAGGACTCCAACAAGCCTTCATTATAGGGAGGATCTGCCAGGCTATCTCCTAACAAAGGAAAAAGCAGCATGGAGGAACAGGGAGCTTCTTTTATAAGAGGGTGGGGTTAACCTGAGCTGGGGTGGAGTTGAGTGAAGTAGCATTAAAGGATTGGAGGAGCCTGAGACATCACTAGGAGGGGCTTGTGACATCACTGGTTACTTAGAGGTAGCAAGTGTCAGGTCAAGTTACTCTTTTGGCAGAAGAGAGACATAATGGGAGGAAGGCTGTCCCTTGGTAAGAGAAGCCATATTTAACATGGCGGCTGCTATTCCATGTGGCAGCCATTTTAAGGTGCAGAGCATTATGGGAAGGAGGCTACTATTTTATGTAGCAGCCATCTTGAGGAAAGGATATCTAACAGACACACAAGCTTAAATATCACGAGTTCTCTTATGTGAGAAATATATCTTTTGCAAATGGGAAGGGGACCAAGAGATGGAAGGAGGAGAGGGGAAGAGACAAAAAAAGAATTAAGATGTGTTATGTGTATGTACCAATTTCCAAGAGGAATGTAATCATTATGTACTGCAAACATGTAATAATAAAAAAATAAAAATCGAAATAAGGGTCACAAGACAATTCTCCAAAGAAGATATACTAATAACTGATAAGCACATGAAAGGAAGCTCAACATTATTAATCATTAGCAAAATGTAAATCAATACTACAATCAGATACCAGCTCACATCCATTAAGATGACTATTGTCAAGATAAAACAAAAGAAATAAAAAGAATGGATGTTGATAAGAAGGTGAAGAAACTGGGGCTCTTGTGCATGGTTAATAGTATAGGAATGTAAAATAATATAGCTATTGTGGAGAACAGTCTGGCCTTTCTTTAAATAATTAAAAGTAGAATTACCATATGACTCAGCAATTTCATTTTTGGGTGTATGCCCAAAGAGATATCAATATACCCATGTTCATAACAGTGTTATTCACAATAGCTAAAACATGAAAATCAGCCCAAATGTCTATTAATAATAAGACATGCTCTATACATGTGTGTAATGTATATATGGAATATTAATCAGCCTTAAAAAGGAAAAGGCTTCTGATGATACATGCTATGACATGGATGAACACTGGGAACATTATGATAAATGAAATAAGCTAGTCACACAAAAATGTATAACAGATAATGTAAAATAGGAAGAAAAGGTCTGAAAGAGAAGGGGAAGTGGGGCATGGGAGAAAGAAGGGAAGGAAAAAATATGAGAAAAGAAGGAAAAAAATGAAAACAAAGTTTTCGTAAATGGGGTATGGAGGGGTATAGGGAAGGAAGGAGAATGGGGAAGAAAACAAGAACCAAGATATATCATGTATAGGTACAAATTCCCAATGATGCATGTGATCAAAATGTATACCTAAAATGTACCAATAAACTTAATGGAATTAAAAAAATAAACTAGTCACAAATAATCAAATATTACATGTCTGCTTATGTAGTATAGTTAGAGTATATGAAATCATAAACAGGAGATAGACTAATGTTTGCTAGGGTCTGTGCGTAGGGGAGAATGAGGAGTTATTTAATGAGCACAATGTTTCAATTTTACAAAATGAAAAGAGTTAAGGAGATGGATGGTAGTGATTATTGCATAATGTTATGAATACATTTTAAATGGATAAGTTGATACATTTTATATGCATTTTACCACAAAAATTTAAGATGAAGTAAATACATACATTGAGGAAGAATGGGGGTGGAGGGAGTTAACAAAACTATTAAAAGTAAATGTGGTATATTAGGATTAGCTTTGATTAGTGTATTTTTGAAAGATTCAAAGTAAAAGTGACTTAGACATGATAAAAGTTACATCCCTCATAAAAAGAAGCCAAAGGTAGGGAATCTGGGCTGACAATAGATTTGCTATGTTATTAATTTACTTTTTTTTTTGTACCGGGGATCGAACTTGAGTCCTTGCGCTTGTGAGGCAGGTGGCAAAACCACTGAGCTAAATCTCCGCCTGATTTGCTATGTTATTAGAGATGGAAGGGCCTATCTTTTGCTCTATTGGCCTTAGCATGGGACATTGCCGTTGTCAAGGTTTTCCATAGTTCAATATGGCTGTCAAATCTCCATTTAGCCTTTTCAGCAGCTGGATGGAAGGAGGGAAATTTTCTAAGAAGGTTCCCAAAAGTCTCACCTAACATTAGTTTACATCTCATTGGCAAAATAAATAAATAAATAAAACAATTTTTAAAAAATCACATAGTTACATGCCTACAACTAGATTCATGATGTGACCTACTAACAGTCAGGGTTTTAAAAAATTTAAATAGAGCAGAATATTGAAGCTACAGCCATTATCACATAACAGGTAAATTAAAAATATAATCTCAAAGTGGGAAAGATTCAATAAAAAGTATCACTTCTGGGGTGTGACCATCGACCTTATTATGTTACCAGGTCCAGACTCTCAGTCTAGTATAGGAATAAAGGAAAGGAATTCAAGGAAGTTGCCAAACAAAAGCAAGTTTTATTGCAAAGAACATCTTCTCCAAAGAGAAGGGGGCTCCATAGCTGGAAAGCCCCCCTAATTTTGGGCTTTTTGGATACTCTTATTGGGGTTTGTGTGGCCCCCCTCAATTTCTCCCTCAGTCTTGGGTGGGGAGATCTTGTCATTGGTCTTTAGACTGTTGCTAAAAGTAGGATTTGTGTCACTCAACTGCTACGAGCTGCCTGGTCGCTGTAGTAACCACCTGACCTTGGAACATTTAACATTTTTTTTTTTCAAGAAACCACAACCACTTCCCTTCTCTTCACTTACTCTTTCTCCCTGGGCAAGTCTCTGTGCAGTGCCTCCCAACTACAGACCCCTTTTCCCTACAAAAACAAAAGAGAAAATATTTGTGTATACAAATATTGAAAACTGGATTGTAAAATCCACTATGAACAAAATCAAATGTTATGTTCAGTGACTACAACATATACAATGGTAGACCCATAAGATTACAATAAATCTGAAAATTCCTATGGTCCTAACGTTTTATCTGTGCCTTTTGTATGTTTAGAGACACAAATTCTCATCATTATTTGCCTACAGTATTCAGTGTAGTAACATGTTATACAGATTAGCCTTGGAGCAATAGGTTATATTACATAGTGAAAATGTGCAGTAGGAATACCATTTAGGTTTGTGAAGCAAAATCATGTAACAACACAGAATGTGTTCTTAGAATGTGCCCCTGTCTTTAAGTGACACTTAACTAAATACTACTATTCCGATAGAAAAAGGCTAATTTCTATACATATAAATAGCATTTAAAAATTAATAAGAAAAACCCAGAAAAGAATACAACAACACATAAAAAAGGGTAATTAAAAGGGTTAAATTGGATGAATCAAATGTAGCATCATATACTAAACAATTTTTTTAGAAATATAAAATAATACAAATACCTGACAGCCCCTCAGAGACCAATAGGCTAAGAATGATCTCTTGAACTGTGTAGGAATAGGGGATATTTTTACTTTTTTAAAGATGAAAAATTATTCAGAAAATGTTGAATAAATCCAGTCCTATCTATATTATCATACATACACTCAAGTGGGGGTTGTTAATTCTGCCCAAGCCTGAGACATATGCATAATTGCCAGATTGAACAAAGCAAAACAGCATATCCAGTTAAATTTGAATTTCAGATAGTGAACAATTTTTAGTATGTCTTATACAATATTTGATGCATTCTTATAGTAAAATACTATTTTTTATCTAAAATTCAAATTTAACTGGTTTCTATACTTCATTTGACAGTGTTCAGGTTCTACCACAGGCAAAACTAATCCAAATCTTTGGGGTTGTGTCCTGGGCATTATAATTTTAAAAAATTTCCTACATTAGAATCACCCAATGTACAACTAAGATTGAGGATTACTGCTCTAGAAATGTTAGTTTTAGATGAATTTATTAAGTAAATTAGCATCTGAAGAACTGACTTTAGATGAATTGGTATCAAGGCAAACTAAATTCTTACCACCACCTCAGCATACTATTTTAAAAGGTTGTTCATCTGTGTCCTTCTATGGTATTCTGTCCTCCTGAGATATTGTGTGCTAATTCATTGTGTAGATAATATTTACAAGATCTCACTTCAAATTTGGCTCCTGCCCGTGGCTCCATTCTTTCATGAAACAAACAACAAATGTACTAGACTCCTTTATTGGAGATTTACCAGATCGACCTTGTAAAGAAAGTTCATAACTGCTAAACTACAGCATAACTTCTATCTGAGACCCATTAGATTAGCTCTCTGGAGAGGACCCTGACTGTAAACTTCCTTATACCAACCCTCCTCAGCCCAAAGCAGTTAGACAGAAACTACACCCTCTCCCTGCTAACTGTAGTTAGGGATACTTCTTTAGAGGGGTGAATTTGTAGACAGCTGAGCTAGTTAGAAAATATTATAAGGCAGTTAGGCAAGGTCAAGCCCTCAGTACAGAGATGAGGTGTGATCTGAGAGGAGCAATTTGCCTCTCTCGACTCTTAGGTAAAGCCTGGAACTGAAGATGTGAACATGTTCTCCAACTGACTCTTAGGTAAAGCCTGGAACTGAAGATGTGAACATGTTCTCCAACTTGGAGATTAAGGTTGAAACATCCTGGCTTTAAGTCAGGAAAAAAAAATCCCCTTTTACTCTTTTAGATAATTTTATTTTTCATTTGCCTATGTGGAAAAACTGTAGGTAAGAATAATCCAGTGACTTGTAAGTGTTAAAGACGTAACCAGAGGCAAACTCAGCCCTCCTAACCCATAATTAAGTTAATTAAAGAAAAGACATTTATAGTGAAAGTCTGCAGTTTTGGTTAGTGTTGCTCAGAAAATAGATCAAACTTACTTTTCCAGACTTTTTCCAAAACAAAATGTCACCTGAGGGCACTTCTTCCTCTTCTCTATAGCTAAAGTGCTATCTGTCTCCTCATCAGCTCTAAACAACCACTGTGGCAGAGAAGAATGGGCTGTTATTTGATGCCAAATTGAATCTGCAGAGATTCAGTGAACTACGACTAGAGAATTATTACAGTGACTCAGTATGTGTGTATCTGTTTGTGATTTTTAACATTGATAGCAAGCTAGACTTACTTTTAATTTCCTCTTAAATATGAGGATGTTTCAAAGTGTCCACAGTTACTGATTAGTCCATTGTGCTTCTGATCTTGGTGATAGAATGTAGACAACTTTTAAACTAAAAAAAAAAAATCTGTGAAGTTCTAACTGAACTTTCTGCATTTCAAGAGTGCTCATCCTAGCCATAGAAAAACATGAGTGTTCTTCAGCTCAGTCTTAATTTTAATTATTCTTGTTGGTCTTTGGTTCTCACAGGCCACTGACCCATTTGAATACTGGCAGCATTGACACTCAGCCATCATCCCAATGTCTTGATCTCTTGAGAAGCATGCACTTCAGAAGTGGATTTGACTTTAAAAAGCATCAACCTAGAACCTTGATTTCTCCTGTTATGGGTACTATCTAAGGCAAAGAAAGGACACTCTCACATCAGATGGCAATGCCCTTGTCTCTTGTCTCCTGCCTCCATCTCTGGGGCACAGGTGTGCCTGTGATCCTGTGCCTATACGAAGATATTGGTTTAGGTAAGTGAAAGTCCCAGAATTAATGCCTCAAGCCTACATTATAACTTTTCTACCACAATGTACCATGAAATAATCAAAATTAACTGCCTGGTTTGTATCAATTTCCCAAAGTTCAGAAACCTCCCATCATCTCTTACCCGGAGAGTAACTCCTATGCAGCTTAGCAGATTTATCCCCTATGTTATTTTACTCTTCCTCAACCCTTGAAACACCTCTACTATGCCCTCTTGTCAGTCATTAGCAAAATTTCTAATATACTAAACTTCTTTTCTGAAAATTTACCTTCTTTAACTGAAATCTGATTTTTCATTTATTATTCTCAAAATATAACTGTGGTTTCTCCTTAGCCTTCTTGCCACTGGGCCTAAAGTTTAAAAACTCTCTTCTTTGCTTCTCATTACCAATTTGAGATCACTCTACCTCCCTTTTTTCCTCACAGCATTCATCTTAGAATCTTCTATCAACATATTTTGCCACCCACTACCTACTTTTGTACCATTTATCTACTGACTCCCTGTCAGTATCTTCATATCTTGAGGATTTTAACTGCTGATTCTTTGTTATTCTCTCCAGTGCCATTCTAATCTTAATCCCTGGTGATTTTAATATCTACATCGATTTTTTTTTTAGTAGCCTTATGTCCTCATCCCTTGATCTTCTATGTTCTAAGCATCAGCGCTCTACTGTTCTCAGCCATCTACTCCCATCTGAGGTCCAATAAAGACTTCACGCTATCAATCACTGAAAGATTTTCCCAATATCAGTTTTAACACATCAAACTTTCTGTCTATCCCCTCCAATTTTTTTAACTCAATCTCTAGGATCTTAATTTCAAAAACAACTTCAACCACTCTAGTACATAAAATCTGTTAGTTCTATCATCTTTTTCATCATCTTTTCCACTCTCATATTCTTATTTTTTCTAGTGTCAAGTCTGTGGTCAGGCATTTTAATCATTCCATTTTATACATCCTTAATTCTCTGATCCTCACCCAATTTAATGTACTTGCTTATAAAAACCCAAAGCTTCATAAATCCAAAACTTTGCCTACATCAGAGTAATATAGTGAGAGAAAAACATCACAATATTTCTAGATGTTCTCAGTTTGTTAATCATGATTACACATTCAAAATTGTGCTTAATGCTGCCTATCATATACAGGAATTTTTCTAGCCAATTTATTCTCCCTTCCTTATCTATTCTGCCTTGACTACTTCATACCATGATAGTTTTACAAACTTCAATGCACCACATCCTCTCCACTAGTAAAACATCTTCTTTCACTGATAAATGAAGTAATCAGAGGAGTGAGTCCACAAGTTGTCACACTGACCTCTTGGCCTGTCTTTGTTCTTTTATACTCCACCTTATGTTCTGTAACTAGTAGATGAAGTATGTTCATTGCTACGTTTACCCTTCCACTTCTGCTCAAATATATTTTCATATCATGTACTCCAGGACTTCACTTTCTGCCAGCCCTATATTATTGATTTTCTTCTTTCTACTGAAACTTTCCAAGTCAGCATACAAGTGTGTTATTTCTTCTCACATTTTAAAATAACTACCTATTGACCTCTTTTCCTTCCTGTTTCCTTTCACTTTTTCTTTACAAAAATATTCCTTGAAAGAGTTCTTTATACTTAACATGTCTAGCTCCTCTCCTGTTCTAATTTTTCTTTTTACAAAAAAATAATTATATTTTAAAAATTAGTACTCATTGATACTTGAAACAGTCTATCAAATCCATAATCAAGTCATGTCAATTAAAAAAATATATATATAATTATCATTTGTCAATTAAAAATAAAACAAAAAGTCCCAGATACAGTTTTCATTAACTCTAGTGCTACCAACCTAGTTCCAGCTACCATTAACTTTTGTCCACATTACTGCAGTAGCCTATTAATTTATTTTCCCTTTTTCCATCTCCACAATCACCAGTTTCACCTTTTTAAGAACATAAATTGAATCTCTATTTAGAACTCTCTATTAGTTTATCATGCACTTTTTCTTTATAACACTTGCCACTACCTTACACAGTATTGTATATGTATACATTTGTAGCCTCCCGAAGGCACAGATTTTGTATTATTCCTCCTTGTTCCCAGAACCTAGAAAAGTGCTTAACACTTGGTAAATGATAAATTAATATGTGCTGAATAAATGAATAAATCACCAAATTTAAAAAATACTTTGGTATCTGATATTACAACCTGGTAAAACAGAGGTAAGCAGTAATTATCTGATAACACCGGCCTTTGTAGCTACTTCATAGGATCATACCACATACCATATTTTTCTCATGCTACTGTAACAAAGAATTCCAGCTCTTCATTCCAGATTATTTTTTCTTCACTCACATGAGTTCTGTTATAGTCTTTCTCCAGGAAGCAGCAATTTTTAAGATCTCCTTTTAAGACCAATGAAAACATGAAGGCCGGTATATGACAAGTATGAGTTTCTATCTCAAGACATTATTTTCTACAGTGAGTTACTGTGATGAAGAACTTGAGAAAATATATGCTGCAATTTTTCCACAAATTTCTCTCATGCCAAGACATAATCTATGAGAAGGAAAGATGAAGTTCAAAAAGAGTTGTTAAGAATGGTTATGAAAATAGATGCTATGATCATAATTTGCTTATTATTTCCACAAATTCTTACTGACCTACTGCAATGTTTCATGCATTATGCTAGGTAGGGGAGAAATAGAAGAGAATAGGATAGATAAGCCTGCAGTCACATAGAATTTACAATAAAGAAGAGTACAGCAATTAGACAGTGAAAAATACATAAAATGATTTCAAATTGTAATTAGAATTCTCTTTTGGGTTTTTTTTTTTTTTGAGACAGGGTCTAACTCTGTAGTTGAGACTAACCTAGAACTCACTATGTAACCCAGGCTGGTTTTGAACTCACAGCAATCCTCTAGTGCTGGGATTACAGGTGTGTGCCACCACGCCTGGCTGTAATTAGTATTCTTAATGGAATAAGCATTGTGCTGTACGAAAAAAATCACCCATACACAAAAACAGGGGGATTGTGGTAAGCAGAATAATGCCTCCCAACGCATCTACTTCCTAGTTCCCAGAATCTACTAATGTCATGTCTCATGGCAAGGGGGAATTAACATTACTAATTAGCTAACCTTGAGCTACAAGATAACCTTGAGATTATCCTGGATTATCTGGGTGGATCCAATACTATCACAAGGGTTCTTAACAGTAGAAGAGATGCAGTAGAAAGAATGTCAGATTTTGGGAAAGATTTGAGGATGCTGCATGACTGGCTTTGAAGATGGGAGAAGGAGTTACAAATTAAGAAATGCATGTGCCTCTAAAAGCCAAACAAGGCAAGAAAATCAATTCTCCCCTACAATGTTCAGAAGGACAGCACTCATAATAATACCCTGATTTTTGCCCACTCAGAAATATTTTAGACTTCTGACTTTCACATATGTTAGATAATAAATTTGATTTGTTTAAAGCCACTGTGGTAATTTTTTACAACAGTGAGTAGAAAAATAATACAAGGACTTTAGATAGGAAAGTCAAAATGTGATTCTCTAAAAAGGTGTCATTGCATCTGATCTGAAAGCTTGGAAGGAGCATGTCATACAAAAAGCTAATGATAACATATTCCAGGTGGAGAAAACAGTGAACTCAAGAGTAAAAAGAGATTTATATGTTTTAAAAACTGAGATCAGGGTAATCCAAATGTGGTGACTGAGAGACAAAATAATTATAAGAAACTAGAATTTAGATAGGAGCACTTTATGCAGTGCCTGATAGGTCGTATGGAATTTAGATTTTTGCTCAGTGCAATGGAAGATACTGAATGGCTAAAACAAAGGCATGACACAATCTGTCTTCTGTCTTTTAAAAAGCATTCTTTTTACTGCAGCACAACAAGTACAAATTATAGTGCACAGATCAATAAACTTTTAGAACGAACATACATAAATATCTATCACCCAGATCAAGAAATAGAATATTACCAAATCTGAAAACTCACACATACTCATTTCCAGCTTTCATCTCCACCATTATCCAGTACCTCACTTTCATTATTTTAACATAGATTTTCCCCAATTACTTAGATTTATATAAATAGAAGCATATGATTATTTTCTTTTGCTTATGAATTTTTTGCTGAATATTTGTGAGTCATATTTTTACATATACTTTTAAAAACTGGCATTGCTGTATATATCTCTGTATACACAATAACAGCATATCTGTCCATTCTTTTGTTGAAGTACATTTGGATTGCTTCCAGGCTTGAGCTCTGATGAACTTATATTGCTAAAATGATAGAAGTGGGGGTACTGAATACTTTGGTTGAGATGAAGACTGGAAATGGGAACAGAGGAGATTTCAGGGATTTGGTAGTATTCTATTTTGTGATCTTGGTGGTATCTGTGTATCTTTATTTTATAAAAAATTTATTGGGCTGTATACTATGATTTGTGCATGCTATTTTATACACAAATGAATGCATTTCTATTGGGTGGATAAACACATTTCACTGTGAGTTAAATGTCCATTTCTTGGGTCTCTAGAGTTTAAAAAACAAAAGGGCTCTTCATAAGCAGATGGGGGCTCTACCATGGAGAATGTATACAACAAGATCAAAGGAGGATTTGGAATATGCTAGTGACTTCTTCCTGGCATTAACTAGCACGAGTGTTTCTGGTCTGTTAGATATTTTACCATTTCATGTCAACCACAACTACTGTTTGAGTAGTAAACAAAGAGTGAAGGCATCCCTGGTCCTTAACAGCAGTTTACACACAGCAGGTAATCAAAACATGCTGGTTAATGTGAAGTAGGAAGAAAAGGGATAAAGGTGTAGGGAAAGTGGGAAGGGTAGAAGAAAGATAATAAGGGAAAGAAAAAAATAGGAGAAAATGAAAAAATTGAAATAAAGTGTTTGTAAATGGGGAGGGGAGGAGGGGGTGAAGGGAGGGCAGGGATAAGGGGAAAAAATGAGAACCAAGACCTGTCATGTAAAGATACAAGATCCCAATAATGAATGTAACTGTACTGTATAACTAAAATGTACCAATAAACTCAATGAGAAAAAAATTTTAAAAATTTCCATTTCTTCAATGATTACTGATGAAAGCCTTTGCTTATTGGTTATTTGGATATTCTCTTTCAGTAAGTGCCTGTTCACTGACCTGCTACTTAGGATTTGGGGAGATAATTCTGGATTCTATGTGTGTAGTTGAGGGGGATTATTTTAGCCAATATTAAGCATTTGTTTGGTCTTGATGCAAGATGAATGAAGTTTGGTATATTAATAGAACATTTACAAGTGTTCCCTCACAGTGGAAATGCTATAAAAAGGCAGATATGCTGTACAACACCATTAAAGTGCAATTGACCTGTAAAGTTAATCACATAACTATGAATTAAATTGTATTTGATCTATACTAAGATGCCTAACTCTTGTCCTCCACAGTACCAAATTTAAGAGTGTCTGGCTGGGGATGAAGATCTATGGTAGAACACATATCTCTTCTCTGCAAGGTTTTGAGTTTGATCCCCAGCACTTTAAGAAAAATAGACAAAGAAAGAATTAATCATACTCTTTTATGAACTGAATTTATAAATGAAGTGGTGTCCTTTAAACACAAGCACTACAGAAATTCAGTAATTTAGGGAAAGAAAATGCAATGCTACATGAAATTTTATTTGATGGCCTCTGGAAAAATTAACTTTACTAGTTTGAAACTGAGTTAGATGAATTCTGAGACATAAATGTGTGAAGGAGAAAGGACATATCCAATTAATGGAATTTCTGGCTGCCAGCCCAGAAAGATTCTGTGAAATCTTATACTACAAGGTAAACTGGCCCTCTCCAGCAAGTGACAGGCCAGTCCAGAATGAGGAGGGCTCAGCCCAACAATAAATTATTCTTGTCCTGCATGTTTTATTGCTCTGCCCTGCATCCTGGCAGGCTTTCTTCCACTGTCTTTCCCTTTGAGCTGGCTTGCTTTAGTATATTCTCTTTTTAAAATCACTTAGCTAGAACTCTTGGTCTTTCCTCTTACCTCCTGTTTTCTCTTCTTCCTCCCTCTAACTTTTGTTCGTAGGGTAGCAAACCCAAAGCAGGCCCTTGTTTTGTTTTTGTTCCATCACAGTTATTGGCCCTGATAAGTAAACTGCTTATTTCATCTTTTGAACCTGCATAATTTCTACTTGTCTCCTTCCTGTGCTACCTCTGGTCCTTCCTATTGTCAGAGGCCAATGACCCCATTTATCTACGGCTTCTGAGGATGAGCTGCTTTTCATCCCCACACTCTGCTGCAACAGCCACTGCAATTCCCACTGCAGCCCCGAGTAGAGAGGTGCATGTTGGCAGAAGTGCAGAGCAGCCACACATTCAAGGCTTGACAGGTCGGGAGCTAGGCCAAATCCTCTACACTGTTCTCCTTCCACCACAACTTCCTGTGCTTGTTCTATATTTGAAAAGCCTCCTGCTAAATTAATTTCCCGGGGGGGAGGGCGGGGGGGCGCGGAGGAGAGAGCCTGAGGGAGTGACTGAGGGGCGAAAACTGCAGTTGACTCGCCCTCTGCTGGTAAAAGATATGAATTGTCGCCTCCGAAGCAGTGGGAAAGAAAGCAACCCGTGTAAGGATAAATTATACCTAAAATTCGTCTTGATTTAACCTATTTGTCAATCTCAAATTTGTCAGTCTCAAATAGCTATATGTTCATCTTTATCCAACACAGAGAGTTAATTAGGTTATGAATCTAAACTGTAGTCCCAGGTAATATGCTATCCTGAATCCATTTTAATTTGCCCTTCGGCTTTTGCCATTGGAAACCGCGAATTAAAACCCTCACAATGTGCTCTTTGTGTCTAATTAGTTGCTAGGCAACTGGAAAATGACACCTAAACCGTCACTTGCAGAACACTTGTGCTTCAGTGGTCGCTTTGCCTAAGATAGCAATTTCATGTGAACAAAAGGACAGGTGGTGTTTGTGTTTTCGAGATTTAATTCATCGGAAAAAGAGAAAGAGCACTCTGTCCTCGGGCTCCCTTCTGAAGGAAGCCGACAGGCAGCTTTATTCAAAAGGAGATATTGGCCGCCATAACTCACACGGACTTTTGTACCGCCTTTTCTGTCTTACGCATTTGTTGGAATAAACCAACACACGGAGGTTGGGTAAAATCTAACGTCTGTCTCACAGCAGGGTAGCATTACAAAGCATGTAGATTACAATAGGAAGTGAGAGAGGAAAAACAAACATACACAGGATTTTGCAGTAGAGGGTATTATTTGATATCATTTGGTTTTCCTGCCAGTCTAAATGTCCTAAATCAAGAGGTTTCTAACCCCCTCCACATCTGGTATTGTAAATTAGTCAGTCACGCGGCCCTTGGAGCCGGTTGGGATTGGCCAATTACTTTGTCAGGTGAAGATCTCTGCAGCAAGTCATGGGACTAGACTAGGCGGTGTCGCTGTCCGTGTCCAGGGTGCTGAACTCTAGGCGTGGCCAGGGAGATTTCCTTTACATGACAGCTTCCGGTAGGGCGGGGTCGAGGTCGCTCTCTAAAAAATCGGATCCATCTGCCACCTGGTGGTTGATGGGGAAAATGCTATTGATAAAGTTCAAATAGTACTTGGATTGAGACCCTAAACTCAAGACACAAATTGGAGGGCTTTGGGAATTTTAAACCCCAGTGGGTGGTTTTTGAGAGATATATTTTTAAAAATCAGAGTGGGAAACAGGAAAATGGAAAAGTTTCCAGAAAAATCACTAACTTTCACCCAAGAAAATAATTTACAAATAAGTTTAAATTTCTCCAAGTATTTCTTGCAACACATCTTGTTATCAAATAAATATTTGAGAATATCTCATATAAAAGTATTTTCTATAGTGTTAAAAGGAACATATTTTGTTAAAATAAATGCTAAGGAAGTTCTATCTTATTATCGAAACACATTCAAGGGAGCTAAGCCTTGAGTACTGCTCTGATCTCAGTTTCTGGAGGACAGAAAATGTGATTATATTTAGAAAGTTTTAGTCTTGTTGCTTTTAATCTTTTCCAGGTCTAAGGTACAAGTTCATGAGACAGTTGAAAATATGGGGCACTTATGACATGCTTATTACTTCTGGTGTTTGCATATTTACTATTTTACACAGTGATGATTAAAAGTTACTGTAAATTATATATAGAACTTCAGGAAAGATGTCCTTGGGTACCTCTGCCTGTAGATATACTTTAATAGATAATAAGAAAAAAACACAAGAAATAGTTGATGACATTCCTCATTGAAATGTTTTTTTCTAAAAATATGTGGAAAGATGGATACTTTTTAAAGAAGTTATGAAGTTAGAATATCAAATGAACATGTAATTTTTATATGTCTCTAACAGTAACCTCTTCTTCCAAATTAGATTGACAACATGTGATTTCTATGTAGCTAGGAAATAGAGATCTCACTGAACTGTCAATGAATAGGTTATAGTGTGAAACCAATTCTAGAAAATTAATATGGTTTTTTCTCAAATATCAATTTCATAAAAAAACTAGATCCATCCAAGAGGCACACTTAACTTTGTCAACCCAGTTAGTACTTGGTATTCTTATGTATTTTCTTTAGTCATACGTGGATCCTAACAGAGAAAATAATAGTTAACATTTTTGTTTTAAGATTCAAAATACATTTTATTGACAAAATTTAATTTAAATAAAAATTTAGGGATGAATTTAGAGTTGTTAATTGAATTATCTTCAATTACAAAATGAAGAAATTGGTCATAGTTCAATAAGTGGAATGATTATTAATCTAGTCTCTCATTTGATTAAATTAGAAAGTTTCTAAGTACTTCCAGATTTCATGGAAAGGCATCTATAGTCTATATTACCAATATGGAAACAAGAATGAATAAGGCATGAAAGCCATCTGTGTAAAACAAGAATGTAATATGAATCTGGTGTATTAATGAGATTGGTTTATACCATAGCTTCTTATGTTACTGTGGGAGAAGGGAATATGCACATGCTGAACAATAAGAGGCATTGCCACATAGAGAAGCAGATGGAAGATCAAGAACAGTGGCAGTAAGCTGAGCTACTTAAGAAAGACTTTTATCCCCAAAGCACTGTGTTTCTGCCAAATGAATGAGACTTCAAATGCATGAAAGGACACAATAGAGAAATAGAATTCTGAAATAATAGCACAGTTTAAAACTGCAGGTGTAATCTCAATGTTTTAAAATATATTTGTCCCTGAAATAGGGTTTTTTTGCAGGCTTATGAAGTAGATCCTAGATATTAATATGCTCATAAAAATGACATAATAAATATCAATATTAAAGTGTAAAAGCTACTTAAAGTTTGGATATGGTAATAGAAACAAGAAACAGGAGAAAACTCTTCAATACTCAGACACAGAAGATGACAAAATTCTCAACAGAAAAATTTCAGAAACATTGAAACATGATTTTGAGGTAAGTAAATGAAAATAAATTATACATTTTACATAAATGTTAGAATAAATTTAAATCTAAACTAATTTTATAAATAGAAAATATGGACTCTTGAAGGCAGATTACAGGGCAAAAATAATTTGTCATCCAGTTTGGGGGCTCAGAAAATGACACACAAAAGTATGGACTATTGGCATACTGAATACTTTATACTAAAAGATCTAGGAAGGCCTCCATAGCAAAGTTCCTTTGACTTTTTTCTGTCTTTCTCTTTACACTTTTTCTCCACTGACATCAGTCATAGAAATAAAAATTCCTCTCCCCCCACCCATAGAAATGAAAATTCCTCTCTAGTTTCTAGAGGAAACTAGAAATCCTCTTTTCCAAAGCAAGCCTTAAAACCTAGAAGCATTATTCCAACCTTCCCCTGATTTTCTGTGTAGGAGCTGGCCAAAAGAAAATTCTCTGACCTGCTTGTCCAGTAGAAAGTCATAAGATCCTTGTTAAAGAAAGATCTGACATACCTTACAGGAAGGAACACTACACAGATAGGCCAAGAGGAATCTGGGTAGATGATCTTGAGGGTCTCCTCTACAATCTATTACTATCATATCATAGCCTTTTTGTTCATCACATTTTACAAGGCTATCCATTCTTCATCAAAAATAAGCATAAAAACACTTTTTCCTGGGTCTTGGGTCTTCATTTCTGAATGCATTTGTGTCATATAAAACCTCAAATAAATATGTTTTTCTATTGTTAATTTATCTTTTGTTATAGTTCTATCAGCTGTGGCCCTTAAATGGGTGAGGAAAGATAAATCACCTACTGTCCCTATATCAGTGGGACTAATTGTATTTCTAATTATATTATAAATAAATACTAAGTACATTTCTCTGGCCTGCTGGAATATATTTTCAAAAATGACACCAGGTATAGCATAATAATTTCAAAATTCTTTTATGTAAATTTTAAGACTTATATAATGAGTAAATATATTGATGGGATCAAGAACAAGGTAATCTCACTTTGGGAAAAAGACAAATGTAAATGTGAAATGGGAAGATAAAGAAGCCTATATTAATGGATTGAAAGTATATACCAGAATTCGTATGTATGTGTATATACACACTTATGCAATATAATCAAAAGCCTGTATTATTTCAAGAAAAGCATTGTTCATGCATATTAGAAACTACTGGAGGAGCCAGGAATATAGCTCACTGGTGCTGTGCCTGCCTGGCAAGCACAAGGTCCTGAGTTCAATCCCCAGTACTAGAAAGGAAAAAAAAAAAAAAAAAAAAAGAAACCACTGTCTAGTAAAATTGTTTGGGGAACGATGCTTCCCAAAGTTTAAAACTTAGATTCACATAGTTTCAAATCTTCTCTGCAAAGATCAATGTTTTGTTTTTGGTACTGGGGATTGAATTTAGGACCGTGCACTTGTGAGCTGGCATGGTACAACTGAGCTAGAATCCCAGCCCTAAGACCATTAATTGTTTGTAAAAAAGAGTTAAAAAGTTCATTTCACTGAGAATTTGATTGATACTATTGCATGATCAAGCCACCAAATGTAGTGCTGCATCTCTAATAATGGCATAAAATGGCATGATATGCCTGCTGATATGGTACATTTAGAAGGGTACAACATCACTTATGTGAGGGGCCGGGGATTTAGCTCAGTGGTTCCGCCGCCTGCCCTGCAAATGCAAGGACCCAAGTTCTATCCCTGGTACCAAAAAAGAAACATCACTTATGTGATATTTTTATGAAAATATTTAACCTAAATCTAATCCAGAGGTAATGATAAAAATTCCAAATTGACACATGTGCTTAAAAAAAACTCTTAAAAATTGTGATGTTGGTTGGGGGAGGAGAATCACAAGTTCAAACCTAGCCTGGGCAACTAAGTGAGACGCTGTCTCAAAAATTTTCAAAAGTGCTGGTAGGTCCAGGGATTTGGCTCACTGGTTGTGCTGCCTGCCTCGCAAATGCAAGCTCCCCAGTTTGATCCCTGGTAATAAATAAATAAATAAATAAATAGTCTGGGAATGCAGCTCTGTGCCAAATCCCTGGGTAAAATCCTCAGGACTTAAAAAAGAGGGCAAGCAATATCTGAAAAAAAGGTCATTTGTCATGAATGAAAATTTTTAAAGTGTCTTTAAAAGATCTTAACTGTGCCAGTTAAAAGAAACTAAAGAAACATGACAGCTAACAGCAATATTCAATCATTGGTTTAACCCTAGACTTTAAAAAACATCCATAAAGGACATTATTAAGAGGTGAAATTCAAGCATGAAGTGTATATTAGATAATAGTACTATGCTTACGTTAAATTTCCAAGTTGAAAATGTTGCGGCATTATGTGGGGTAATGTCCCTGTTTGTAAAAGATACAAGTTGAGATATTTAGAGGGATTACATATAATGTCTGCAACTAATAGCAACATAAAATATTTACATATTAGTTAGCTATTTCATAGCATGTATGAAACAAAACACTCCCAAAATTAGTAGCCAAGAACAACATTGATTCCCAGTCATGCACCTGAGATTCAACAGATGTAGGTTAAGTTGTACCTTGCTTGCAACAGTCAGGTTGTGTCTACAACTGTTCCACATGTCTTTCATTATTCTTTAATCAATGGGTCATCCAGAAGATGCTCTTTTCATAAAGGTGGGCAAGTCTAGTATGCAGCACAATTCACACGACAACGTGCTTCTTTCTGTGTATTAGTCTCATAAGAGTTCTAAAACCAGCTACCACAAGTTGGTGGGGCAAAACAATACAAAAATCTGTTCTCACACAGTTCTGGAAGCAGAGTCAGAAAGTAAGACATTGGTAAGGTTCTGCTTCCTCTGAAGGCTTGGGGGAAGATCCCTCCCTGGCACTGACTAGCTCCTGGGGGTTATTAGCAATATTTGGCATTTTTTACTTAGAGCAGCATCAGTCCCATCTCTGCACTCATTATTGGATGCCTTTCCCTTGGATGGCCAGGTGTCTCTAAATCTCTCCCTTCAAAAGACACTGGTCACTGGACTTGGAACTCGTAAAACACAGTCACTGGATTTAGAGTTCACACTAATCCAGTACAGCCACATTTTAATTTTATTATGTCTGAAAGACCCTATTTCCAAATAAGGTCACATTCATAAGGACAAGGTGTTAAGATTTCAAACTTTCTTTGTGGGAGGGCACAATTAAACCTGCAGCACTCTGCTAACATCCCACTGCCCAAAGTAACTTACATGGTTATGTCCAAAGTCAAGACATGGAGAAGTATATTGTGAACCTGTTGTGAGGCCAAGGCATATAACATGGCTAAGGTGGAGCAAAGAGGCATAATTCTCTCATAGAAGTTGAGGGAGAGAGAACAATTTTTTAATAATGGGTATATAATTTATTATGTATTATATAATATAGTTATATAATTTGTAATTATATAACTATAATATATAATTTAAAATATAATTTATAGATACATAATTTATTATATATTGTATAATATAGTTATATATTATACATACTATGTATGTGAAAGTGTCTATAGCAAAATTAACAAATGTAGTTGAAGGTTATATGATCATTTATTATTTTTTATGCCTACTAAAAATAAATTTGGATTTAAGTATAGAAAGGTTTCATTCTAAAAGGTTGTTCTGACCTTTTTGTCAGAAACATCTGACCAAAAATCTCTGGGTCTCAAAATAAAGAAGAAAAAATTTTAAGTAAAGAGGGATAAGCAGATTTAGCAGGACAATTGTATGGAAATATAAGAGGGTAGGATGAGAAGATAGCACAATCATTGCACCTTAACAGGAAAATTTCTTCCCTCCTGTGGTTGACTAACTCTGAAAATGAATGTCTAAGTGGGGGATGTTGGGTCAAGACCTGCGGGAAGAAGATGAAAAGACTGATAAAGTCTGGGTAAGCGAGTCAATGCATAAATAACAGGCACTTGCAACTCTTCTCAAGTTGTGAAATATTTCAAAATAAGATTTTTTTAAAGCTTAAAAATCAGTACTTGGAAACATTTTTGAAATGGACATTTGCTTTCCAAAATCTTTATGACATTCTAGTAGCTGTTGATTGCCTCTCCTCAATATCTAAATTTTGAGGAAAGATTCTGACATCACAAGGCTAAAAGGCTGTGGATTTATTCTGTCAAACCCAGTTCTACCTTCACTATAAAAAAAACTTTTTGAAAATACCAGAGGAAATAGAAAATTTTCTGTTGTATTTTAATGCCATTAAACAGACATCAATAAATCTAGGGACTAATCTACCAGATTAAGATTTATAAGAATCCAATTAAAAAGCAGTGTCCCTGTGCCTGTTTTATTTCACTTAACACAATATCTTCCAGTTTTATGTTTTTAAAAATGGCAGGATTTCCTTGTTTTTTTTTAAGGCTGAATGGTGTTCCATTGTGTTTATATGCCACATTTTAAAATTGCTTCATCTGTTGATAGATAATCTGATTCTATATCTTGGCTATTTACAAGGCTGAAATAAACATGGGAGTGCAGATGTTTTTGACATACTGAACTCATTTCCTTTGGATATACCCAGTGGTGGGATTGCTGGAACATACGGTTTGCCCCTTCTTCCTCTTTCTCTTTCTCTCTTTCTTTCTTTTCTCCCTTCTTTCCTCCTTTCTCTTTTCTTTCTTCTTTTCTCTCTCTCTTTTTTTTCCTCATTGAGTTTATTGGTACATTTTAGGTATACAGCACAGTTACATTCATTATTGGGATCTTGTACCTTTACATGACAGGTCTTGGTTCTCATTTTTTCACCTTGTCCCTGCCCTCCCTTCACCCCCTCCTCCCCTCCTCATTTACAAACTTTGTTTCCATTTTCTCCTATTTTTTTCTTTTCCCTTATTACCTTTCCCCTACCCTTCCCACTTTCCCTACACCTTTAGCCATTTTCTTCCTATTACACATTGTCAATTTTCTCTCTCTCTTTCTTCCTCTCTCTCTCCCACTCTCTCTCTCTTTCTTTTGTTTATTTTTTCCATGGTGCTACTCAAACCCAGAACTTTCACACTGAACTACATCTTCAGGCTTTTAAAGCACTTTTAAAAACTTTCAGAAAGGATTTTGCTAAGTTGCCCCTGATCTCAAACTTGTGATCCTCCTGCCTCAGCTTCCTAGAGTGCTGGGATCACAGGCATGCACCACCTTGTCTGGCTGATCAGTAAGTACTCTTCCTCTTTCTACCCAAATTGATCAAGGATATTCACCATAGAATAGTATTGACTAGGCACAAACATGTTTCTTTTTCTTGTTTATAAAGAGATATTCAGGATTTAAGTTCAGAATATATAAACCTCATTTAAATAGGAAAAAGACAAACCATTCAGTGCAAAAAGGGGCAGGGTGGAGAACTAATCAAAAACTTACCAAAGAAAAATATCCAGATAACTAAAAATATATTAAACAGCATCCTGCCTCATCAATATTTCAATAATCAGAGTAATGCAAATTAAACACACAATGAGATATAGATGCATGCACTCATGCAGATGGTGAAGATGAGTAATGTAAGGTGCTATAAATTTGAACATGTCTGCTCCAAAACTGACCTTGAAATTTAATTACCACTATGAGATATAAAATATAGGACAAGGTATACCTTTAGAAAGTTATTCATGGACAGATTAATGGATTATAACAAGAGTCTGTTATAAAACCCAATGTGAACAAGGTCTCTCTTTTTATTTTATGAATAAAACAAAAATTATTTCTTTTTTTTTTTTTGGTACCGGGGATCAAACTTGGGTCCTTATGCTTTCGAGGCAGGCAGTAGCACTGCTGAGCTAAATCCCCAGCCCAAAATTTCTTAACAAAATAATAAGAAAATAACAATAGGTAATACATTGATATTGTTATATTCAAAGTAGTTACTCAGAGTACAAGACAATGACAAAAAGATTGAAAACATATTAGTACAAAATTTTCTTTTCAATGAACTAAAGAGAAACTAGTAGAATAAATAAAACAAATTAGCATATATATCAAAATATGTTTGAAACAACTGGCAATTTGGGGAACTATAAGAACTTCCCACCACTTCTTATTTATGTATCTTCCATTTTGCTCCTCATTTTCAGATAAATACTTTGAGTTTCTCATACAAAAGAAATCATGAGATATTTAAGCTTGCATATCTGACTTCATTTAGCATTATGTTCTCAAGTTGCATCCATTTACCTACAAATTCCTCAAGTTTATCTTTCATTATGGCAGAGTAGTGCACCACTGTGTTATCCATTTATCTGTTGATGGACATACAGACTGTTTCCAGGATCTAACAATTATAAATTGTGCTGCTATAAACATGGATATGCATATATCCCTAGGATATGATAATTTCAACTGTTTGGGGAAGATGCCTAGAAGGGGGATAGTTGGGTCAAATAGAATTTCTGTTTTTAGTTTTTTAAGGAATCTTCCATAGTGACTGTACTAGTGTACATTCCCACCAACAATGAAGAAGAGTTCCTTTTCCCTCATATTCTTATAGCATTTGTTATTACTAGATTTTTTGATGATAGCCATTTTTCTCTGGGGTAAGATAGTATCTCAAAGTAGTTCTTATTTGCATTTCTCTCATGATTGGAAACAATGAATATTTTTCACATATTTATTATGATTTGTATTTCTTCTGAGAAATGTCTATTCATTTTACTTGTTAATTTTTTGGTTGGGTCTTTTATTTGGGGAGTCTATTTTTTTGAGTTCTTTATATATTCTAAGATGTTAGTCCTCTGTCCAAAGAATAGCTGTCTTCAAAAGTTATACCTATTTTATCTTCCAGCAGATTAGCTGTTATGACACTTATATCTTTGATCCATTTTGATTTTAGTTTAGTACATCATGAGACATGAATCTAGACTCAGTCTTCTGTAGGTGGATATCCAATTTTCCCAGCACCATTTATTAATGAGGCTATCTTTCCTCCAGTATATGTTTTGGCCCCTTCGTGAAAGATCAAACTATGTGTGCCTTGGTTTGTTTCTACTTCTTTTATTCTGTTCCACTGATCAACATTCCTGTTTTTGTATCAGCAGAAGCGGTCCCTCTTGAGCATTTGTCCTTGCTCTGTGATGTCCTGGGAAGCACAGGACTTTTCCAACAAGAAGGGTGTCACCAGATGTGGCTCCTTGAACTTGGGCTGGAATTGTGAACCAAGCTAAACCTCTTTTAGGAATTTTTAAATAAATTAAACTTTTTTTTCTTTACTAATTGCTCAGTCTGTGCTATTATGTTCTTAGCAACAGAAAATAGACTAAAACACATGTTGGAAATAATTTGAGGAACTAGAAGTTACTCTGCTGATGAGAGTATAAGTTAGTAAATTTCTCAGAAAACAGTTT